AATCTAATGGTTTTTAAGAAATCTTAAAGTTACCCTTAAAATGTTTGCCTTTCTGGAACTGTTATGCTAATTTATCATCTAGAAACAGGGTCTGTATATTGTATGATTTTGTTTACACAAAACATCCAGAAGAGGCCAATTCACACACACACACACACAGAGAGAGAGAGAGAGAGAGAGAGAGAGATCACTGACTAGCGGGGCTGGTGGGGGTGGGGTGGGGAAGGGAGGCATGGAAGAGACTGCTAATGGAGAGGGGCTTCCTTTTGTGGTAAGAAAATGTTCTAAAGTGCCATCATGGTAATGATTTCTCAATTCTGTAAATATACTAAAAAAATTCCACTGACTTATATTGTTTAAAGGGTGAATTTCAAGTGAGTTTTATTTCAGGAAAACTAATATTGAAAAAAGGAGAGATTCTTAGTCTTCCTTGGGTCATGAATTCCTTAGAGATGCTGAAGAAAACTATGAACACCTCATCCAGAAAATGCACACATGCCCACCTTTCCAAAGTATTGTGTCAAAGTTCAGAAGGCTTCATACTTGCATACCTGTAGTCTATCTTCCCCTAACCCTAAAGCCAAGCACATACTAGGTGCTCAAAATGCACACGAGGTGCTCAAAATGCACATGTTCTCTCTGGTGAGCTGACACATACTTAAAATGGACAAGAAAGGCACTCAGAATGTCATGAAATATAACAGGTCTGTCACTGGGGGTTGCCTGTCCAAACTCTGCTGAGACCACAGGGGAAGTGGGAGGTGCACCTACCTTGTTCCCCAAGTTGCCATTGGCTTGCTTCGAGAGAAGCAGGGCGACCATCTCTGCATGACCCTCCTGGGCAGCCAGGTGAAGGGGGGTCACACCTTGTACTGACTCTGCATTCGCTGATCCCCCATACTGCAGCAGACTGCGGGCCACTTCCATCTGATTCTGCTTGGCAGCAATGTGCAGAGGGGTGTAGCCATTCTGAAAGAGAAGAAGCCACCCGAACTTGGTGACAGGAAGGCTAAGTTGACAATATGAGCACAGAAGAGAGGGCCAGGCCTGGCTCTGGGCCTGGTGATACCCACCAGGCAGGTCTGGTATTACCCAGGAGAGCAAGTTACATAAACAAACAAACAAAACCCACCGGATTGGGAGCCAGTTCTCCTGGCTCCCACAGCTAGCACATGTCTGCTGTGCCTTTTTCACTCTGTTTTCTGCTATCCTGCTCAGAAAAACTGCCGGCAGGAAATGCTCTGTCCCCAAGCAAAGCTAGAATTCAAATGGGCAGCCTGCAGAAGAACTCCAAGGCCAGGTAGGTAAGGAAGTTAAAGGTTTCCTTTCTTCCCTTCTTGCAATAAGGACTCACAGGCCCATGCATTTCATAAAGGACAAACAAAAACAAAAACAACTTTTTTGCTTTCCCTGTGAAACGAGGCCCAGTGCTGTCCTTGGGGCATGCACCATGAAGGGCACACAAGGGTATGGGGCTGGACCTTGTTTCACTCTGAACTGGCTGTGACACAGGGCGAGTTATTCTACTACCTAGACTTCCTTTTGTATTGTTTTAAAAAGCCATTAAAAGTGGAACAGCACTATCTTGTTTTCTTCTCAAAATTGTCAGGTAGATCAGCTACAATGACGTGCTTTCCAAAATTTAAATATGAAAGTAATAGAATAGCTAGGAATGGTGGCTGACACCTGCAATCCCAGTTACGTGGGGAGGGAAGCTCATGGCTTGAGGCCGCCCCAGGCAAAATGGAAGACCCTATCTGAAAAATAATTAAAGAAAAAAAGGGTTGGGATGTGGCTCAAGTGGTAGAGTGCCTGCCTAGCAAGTGCAAGGCCCTGAGTTCAAACCCCACTGCCACCAAACAACAACAGCAACAATAATGACAAAGCTGTGTGTCACAGTTTTGCAGCACACTGTTCACAAGACATTAAGTCTAACACCTATTTGACCTAGTAAATCAATTAGGTCACTGCGTGCTGTTTGGTCTTGTTTTTGTATTAAAACTTTCTCAGTGAAGGAAGGAATGCATTGGTTCACACCAGGAACAAGCTCCTTTTGCTACTGCAGATAGGTGACAGGCTACAGATGTGCTAACTGGTCATCATTGTGGTCATACAATCTACTTCCACAGCCATTATCTTTTTTGAGCTTCACAACCACATAAAGTAAGTAAAGCAGGTATTTTTTATTACTATCCCATATTGTCAATAAAGAAGCCATTTCTCTGAAAATGAAGTGTCTTATCTAATGTCACACAATAGGCAGAACAACAGACAAGCCAATCCCAGGTCCTTTCAGCTAGTTGCCGGGCTTCTCAAATTGTGATGTGTGCACAAATCACTTCAAACCTTGTTCAAATGTAGATTCTGATGCAGCAGGTCTCAAGAGTCTGCGTTCCTACCTAGTGCCAGGTGCTGCTGCTGCTGCTGCTGTGAGCAGCAAGGCCTTGGAGCACTTGGGAAAAGGGGATACCAGCCCCTTTGGCTTCCTGGGCAGGACTCATGACCTCCGGCACAACCATCCACCCAGACGGCTACCAGTGCTTGATTGTCTTGGGCGAATGCTTCCCAATCTCACCGGCATTCCTCTGGTTTCTAAGAGGAGTGAGTTCCCTCTACCAGCCAAGCACCATCTTACTGTGGCAACCACCACTCCTCACTCTACCATGACCGCTGGCAAGGAAAAGGGAAGAGAAAGCAGGTGATACAGGAAAGTCCCAGTTATACAGTACTGGGAACATGGAAAAGGACAACAAGGTCACCATGTAAAATGACTTTTATGGGAAAATAAAAAGTTGCAATTTGCTTTCCAAATTAAATTGAATTAAAAAGTAATTCTTTTTTTGCAGAATTATGTAAGATAATTCTTTCTAGTATTTCCCCTTTTAATTGGATTACATTATGAGAACATATGACATTGCTCTTTACAGGTTGTGTTCATATGACAAGATTGGCATTTAGATGATAATAAAATTAATTAAGCAGAATGATTTTTGTACTATATCAAAACAGAACAAGAAAAGGAGAAGCAGTTCAATGGATCAAGCCTGAGACATGGAGCCACCTCCAGTTACAGATCATCACCTCTGAGATGGGCAAGGTAAAATGTCCCTCCCCAGAGCTGCTGTCACTGTCACCATGAATGGGGATGAGGTGCAAAGCCCACGGAAGACATTCACTAGAGAAAAGCAAGGCTTCTTTAGACTTCTTTTAATGTGTACAGGACAGCCACTGGAACAATCTCAAGTATGTTTGTGGATGTATCAGCAGGAGTTCCAGACCACTTGGGCAGCTGTGGGTGTCTGAGCTGGCAAGAGCAGACCCTGTTCTGGCCAGGGGCAAGCTTGCCCTGGAGATGGCTAAGGCTGCCAGATCACCGTGGGTTAACACCAGGATTACAGGAGTCATTGACCATCTCAAAACATGGACCAGCCCACTGGAGCATCCCCCAAAACCAGGACTAAAGGAAATGATGACCTTCTGTAGGTGACAAGGACAAGAGGCAGATAGGCTGGACAGCCAAGGAGAGATCAGGGAGGGAATGTAAGCCAGTTTCCCAAGAAAATGAGCTAAGGGTAGGAGCAAGCAGGAGAGGGCTCTGCCTAAATTGTGCGACATTAGCATCAAATTAGAAAGGGAAGGGTTTGGTTTGGGTGGAGAGGGATTTGAATGTGAAATTCTACAAAATTGCCAGACTACTTTGCAAACTATTTTTTGCTATGGAAACAAAATCCATCTGTGCAGGATTTGTGCTTGCATTTAGCTCTCTTTAAATATCATGAACGTGGCTCCAGTTCCTTTTATATAAGTAGGAAAGTGAGGAGGAGGAGGGGAGTCTGGCTTTTTATTTTTAGAGGCAGGAGTAAGTCGACATCTTAGCAGGGCTGCATGCTCTCTCTGCATAGTGACGTAGGGCTCACTACAACAGGAGCAGGGACAGCAGCCAAAGGAAACAAGGGGTGTCTGATTGATGTGGTGTATGCAGGAAAGGGATGCTGTAAGGTTGACATAAGCATCATGTTGAGCAGAAAAAACAAATTGAAGCCCCACACTAATTTCTCCCTGCCTGGGCCAAGGACACCCTGAAGTCAGCAGGTGTCAGCTGGAAGCTTACTGGGACCCACTTCCATGGCTCCTGCCCTGGAAACACGGAGACACCCATGTGTGACTGAACCCCACCATAAATAATTCTCTAACACTGTTCCTTGTGCCTCAGGCTATCTTATCAGACTGAGAGCTCCCAGGTACAGGGATGGCATATGACTCTTGCACGCTCAGCCCTGACTGTCTCCTCTCCTGGGCACCAGTCCCTTATGGTCCTGTCCCTCACAGATAAATACAGGCAAATCCCACACAGCCCTCACCTTCCCACAATGGGGCAGCCTGTTCCCAAAAATGCTCATTGTGTACTTTGACTTAACCTTGTATCACCCCCTCCTCAGCCTGGCTTTCTAGAACACCTGGGGAGCAGGTACAATGGAACTTCCCAGCCATGACCACAGAGTAGGAATCTCTGGGAACTCAGAGCCCCCTGGAGATTCTTATCTACTTTGACCTGGCAGCCAGTTTACAGAATTCAGCTTACACGCAGTTGCTCAGGGGACACACTTGGTGAGTAAAGCAAGTTCCACCTCCCCAAAGAGTGGTAGTGACACTGTAGGTAACATTTTTGAAAGTGAGATGATATATCTGAGGTAAAAAAAACAAAACAAAACACAAACAACCTGGGCTGCTTTGGAAATGACCTTCTGCAGGACCTTACCCAGGCAGGGCTGTGTGGAGAGCCACCCCGGGGAAGAAGCAGCTTGACGATGTCCAGGTTGTTGTGATGAACGGCCACATGTAGGGGGGTCAAGCCATTCTGCAGAGGGAAAAAGCAGAGGGCAGAAAACAGATTCACTCTAGTGGACTTTCTACAGGAGGTCCTTTAGGTATGCAGGACCCATTTTTGGATCCACATCTCTTATATGGGCAAAAGCTGGTTAAAAATCCATCCAAAGATGGACTGAGGATGTGACTCAGCGGTACAGTGCTTGCCTAGCATGCATGAGGCCCTGGGTTTCATCCCCAGCACTGCAAAAAATAAAATCAAATGATCTGTCCAAAGATGGATAGCAAGGCCAAGGGCCATCTCATCATCATCCCTGTGGAGGCCACGGAAGAGGTAGATAATGAAGTCAACATGACAGGCCATTAACAGAAGCATCGCTCTCTCCAGATAGTTGCCCATCCAAAAGGTGGACAAAATAGGCAAGAGAAGGGATTTGACAGCGGTGAAGTCTGCCCGTCCAGCTTCCTCTACTCTGAGAGCAAAGAAGGCTCAAACTCACTTTTCCAGCAGCGTTGGGATGCGCGTCACGTTCCAGCAGCAGCTCGGCCACCCTCACCTTCCCGTACTTAGCAGCCACATGGAGAGGGGTAAATCCTTTCTGAGGAGAAACAGAGACCGTCAAGAAACTGGGAAGCCAGAGCTGACCCTCCTGGAGAAAGGTAATGAAGCTTCCCACCTTGATCAGCGTGGGGATGCCGGTAAAACAAAAGGCACTGCACTTTCTCATCTCTCTGAAAGGCCAAAGACCTCAGGAATAGGCAAACTTCCCCCATCACCACCACAGGCTCCTTCTTCTCTTATAAGAGATAAGAGGTCTCCTTGCACTGTCAAATGTCTGCTGGCTTGTTGAGCATGGGGAGTTATGTCTTTTTGTTTTTGTTTGAGACAAGGTCTTACTAAGTAATCTAGGCTGGCCTTAAACTCATGACCCTCCTGCCTCAGCCTCCCTAGTGCTGGGATTACAGGTGTGCTCCACACCTGGCAAAATTATCTTTTCTTTTTCTTTTTTTTTTTGGCAGGGGATCAAACCTACAGCCTTATGAACGCTAGGCAAGCGCTCTACCACTAAGCTACATCCTTAGCCCTTGAGTCCGAGTCCTTCCTGAATCCCCAGAATCTATGACTTTTATGATTGGTCTAGAGCAGGTGCTCAGTAAATAATTACTCTATGAGAAAAAGGTGAAGGCTGAGTGGTAGGTAAGAGACTGGCTCTCTGGCCTTTCTAAGGAAGGAGAGATAGCACCTTGGGCACAAGATGGCAGCCAGTCCGAGGGAGCCTGACCCTCCCAGCTGCCTGTAGCATCACTAAGACACCAAAGAGAATGCAGGTGGACTCTCCCTCAGAGCCCTAGGTCCAGCCTGTTGCTTAAGATTTTTTTTTAAATTTTTTGAGACAAGGTCTTGCTGTGTTGCTCAGGCTACCCTTAAACCCCTAGGCTCAAGTGTTGCTCCTGCCTCAGCTTCCCGAGTAGCTGGGACTGCAGGCATGAACCACTGCACCTGGCCAGCCTGTTGCTTCTTAGGAATGGGAAATAGAGGCTGTACCTTGGTCATGCAGGCCTGGGATGCCTCCTTCTCCAAAAGGGCCAGGGCTGTGTCCACATGGCCTTCACGGGCTGCGGTGTGCAGGGGCGTGTGGCCAGCAGTGGTGGCCAGGTTGGGGCTGGCGCTGTTCTCTAGCAGGAGCCTCACCATGTTGGTGTGGCCGATACGAGCGGCACAGTGAAGAGGGGTCTGGTCATCCTGGACCCAGAGGTAAAAACCACAGAATAGGACATGTTAACCACAGAGAATGGAGGTGAGGCCCAGAAAAGTTAAGGACTTTCTCATAGTCACTCAGCTAAGAAAATAAAGAGCTGGAATGTCAATCAAGTCTCTCGGTTACAGAAACCAGTATGCTCTATCTTATTTAAACCTTATAATTCTTCAGGTCAGATGCATTTCTATTTAATTGCCCACAGGCTCAGGCCTTCTATCTGTAAGGGGGATAATAATATTCATCTTGCAGGGTGAGGACTAGAATCAAGCAGATCGCTGACAGAAAGTTGACACAGTGTCAGGCACAGACACTCAGTAAACTGTGGTTGCTATTTGGCCATTCCAAGCTTCCTGGTGCTTGCTGTTTTTGAACTTTGAGTCTCTCTATGCCAGAGATCAAGGAGAGTCTAAACTGAAGAGGAAAGAGGATATTTGCCCCATCACGGCTAACAGTGCACGCTACATGGATGAGGTCTCTGATTTATGGGGCCCAACTGGAGGCACGACCCAAACATGGATCTGGGTTCCAACTCTCAGAGGGAGCCTCTGCCTCCTGTGGTTAGGAATGCCTAACCTTTGCCATAGCCCAGTAACTTGCAAGCTCACCAACTGCTCTTCCTGGTCACTCATCCAACACCTCAAAAATAAACTGACATCAAAGGGATCCTCTACTTTTAGATCAAGTGATTCTTGGTTGATTTTCACTGGCAATGCTGCCTTTGAAAAATTCCTTCCCACCTTATACTACAACTACTCATTAGCCCAATAAACCTAGCCACAGTCTAGCCACACTTGCTGGGCTTTCATTACTCTAGAGAAACATAACTATAGTGCAGAAATAGCTCTGGCTTCTCAGAATCCCTCAAAACAGAACCTGAGCTTTTAGCAACCTAACTGGTAAGGGCAAGTGGCTGTGAGCCACACAGCATGATAGCCTGGCCTCTAATGAGAATGAGGCCCCCATCCCACTTGAATTGCTTATGTCCCAGGATCATCCCCTTCCTGTCTCGAGAACTCACCTTGGCCTTGGCATTGACTTTGGCTTTGTTCTGCAGCAAATATTTGGCAACTTCTGTGTGCCCTGCTCTGGCTGCCATGTGTAGTGGGGTCTCTACTTTCTGTAAAATAACAAAATTAGAGAACTGGTAATAATGCTGGGTTTGTAAAAGGACACACAGAGCTCCAACGTGCCAGTGTGGAGTAGCTTAGATGTTTTTTACCCAAGAGGTGGAGTTGCCCTAGCACACAGCTCTTTAGCTTGCTCTGTGCGTGTGTGTGTGTGTGTGTGTGTGTGTGTGTATAAGTATTCTAGGTATACTTAAAAGTGAACCCTGGAGCTAATGAATATTAAAAAGTATAGATGTATTTCCAGATAACACTTACAGAATTTCCATAATATTTTCCAAAACAAAGCCCCAAAGACTTACAAATGTAGCAACTTTAATTGGGAGAGCACGGGTACCTAGGAAAGTTCTCCCATCTGCAGCCTTCACTACTGTGTGAGTTCCATCTCTACTGGAGATGGGGAGCACCTGCCCAAGGTCCCCTCAGGGTTCTGGTCTAGAGAGAAGAGTCCTTGCCATCCCCACGGGCTTACCACATTGGAGACGTTGGGTGATGCACCCCGCTGTAGGAGGTTCTTCACAATGGGAAGGTGTCCCATGAAGGAGGCCACATGGAGTGGTGTCAGGCCAGACTAAAACAGATAGGGGTGGAGTGAGTGAAGGACAGCTAATGTTTTTCTGCCACTGGGTGCTCCAGGAAGTTTTCCAAGAAGACATAGGTAAATGATGTGGGTTTGCTTTCAAGACAATGACTGGAAGAACAAAAGCATTGGCAGGCAGGTTGTGCCACATTTACAACTCCAAACAGCTCTTGGAATCTTGGAATACTTCCTGAGACTCAACACAGGTCCTCTTGTATTAGTCTCTGGATTCATTCCTTTGAGCAGCCCCAACACATGTACACACACACACACACACACACGCACACGCACACACACAAGCAAGTATACATAGCTATGAAGAACAACTCTCAACAAAGGCAGATTCCCCTACCTCAGTGACTGCGTCAATAGAGGCTCCCGTCTTCAGCAGCAGCTCCATGACCCGGATATGGTTCTTCTTGCAGGCGATGTGTAAAGGGGTAAAGCCATTCTGCGGCCCCACACAAAGGAGACAGACATCAGGAGCTTACACATTAGCAAAGAAACACCTGAAAGACCTCCTTGCTGTCTGAAAGGCAGCTCATCCTAGCCCATCAGCAGACACCCACAGACCAGCGGATAGTGTCTCTCACTCCATGCACCAAGTATGTTTCTGAACACATTATCTAGAAACCTTTAAAAAAATTCCATCCTATTTCTGGATGCACTGAAAGAATCTGCTGTGTAACGCCCCTTTTAGGGCAAATTTACAATAATGAATAAAGAAGCAGATCACGTTCCTTCTGCCCTGAATCCGTGGATGATTGGAGTGCAGTGGACCTGTGCTGTGGCAAGTGATGATGGCATGTACACCCCACAGAGGCAGGGTTTCATCTGTCTGTTTTTGTCTGTTTTTCAGCGCTTCATGCCTTTAGGGAAGTGGCTCTTAAACCAGGGGCAGTGATGATAGAGATGGTTTGCACCCTCCACCAAAATGTGGCCACATCAAGAGATCTTTTTGGTTGTCATAACTAGGAGAGGGGAGATATTAGTGTCTAGTGGGTAGAGGCTGGGAGTGATGCTAAATATCCTACAATGTCAACAGTCCATAGATTGAGAAACCCTAGCTACCCCAGCACATTGCCTGTGGTCAATGCTCCTTGAAAGTTTTTCTGAAAGAATGGATGAGCCATCTCCTCTTGTTCCGAAAGACACCTGCCCCCTCAGTTCTCCTCCCCAGGAATGGGCAAGAGGGACGTGGGGTCACGGCCATGCTCTTGGCAGAGCTGAGCCCTCAGATCCCTAGACCACCCTAGGATCCCCTGGCCTAGAGGAGGAAGGCAGGAAGGGCGGAACCTCAGCCATAGGAGGAGCTTGCTTTAGGATAAACCCATCTTTGCCCCATGGCCATGGAAACTGAGGCCCTCTGCAGAGGAAGAATGCTTATCTTGGGCCAGCACCTCCCACCCCAAAAGCAGGTCAAAATGCAAGGTGGTGTTTAAGACCTCATTGCCCCTCAAGTCTAGGCCCAGCTAGGGCTGGAGTGGAGCCCTCAACCCACATGCCTACCATGAACACTGCTTTTGGGGTCAGGTCTCCTGAGCATAGACCCACCTAGACCTCAACCCGGCTACAGGAGATGACACTCAGTTGGATGTAGAGTGGAATGTGAAAGACCAGCACACTACAAGTTCCCACCAGCCTATGCAGTGACTTCCCCACTGCTGGGTGCTGAGTCCTAGAAGTCTCTCCAGGCCACTACTCTGGCTCTGTCTCCCTGTGCCTTTGCTCCTGTAGCACCTTCTTTAGTGGCCTTCCACTCACCAGGGCTCTGGAGTTTGGCTTGGCCCCTTTATCCAAAAGGACCTTGGCCACCCTGTGATGGCCACAGTGGGCTGCCACATGGAGTGGAGTCAGGTGGTCCAGGGTGATGTCATCTATTTCTGCGTTGTATTGCAATAGAAGTCGGACACAGTCGAGGTGGTCTCCCTGAGCCGCCATGTGAATTGGGGACAAGCCATTCTGGGGGAAGAGAAGAACATGCAGTCATAGAGCCTTCTGGGGATGGAATATGGAAATGAATTTGTCCTGAACACAATGATACCAACATCACGTCCTCCTTTTGGTCTACATGATGCTTCTACATGGGTCATGAATAAGCTTGGTTCTTTGTGGCCACTCTGGTCCTGCTGGCCTCTGACAACAAATGTTCTTCCCACCAAGCCAAATCCTCCATGCCTCCAGCCAGGCCTACCTCATCTGCGAAGCTTCTCTGACCTCCCTAGACCCCCATGGGCCATCTTGACCTGTGCCACTCACTTGGACCTTATTCTCATGTTTTTCCAATCATGCTACTCACAGTCAGCTTCTAAGGATTGTGGATCTTTTCTCCATATTTACCAGCTTCTTAAGACCAGTGATTGTGCCTAATGTTCCTTAAATGCCCCAGTGACCAGAAGACGCATGGGACATGCATGGTGTTCCTTAATTAATGTGGTTGAGTCCATAAAGGATGGAAAAATAGAACTTGGATCTAAATCCATGTTCTCTGCCCCTAACAAAAGTATTTCTGTGGCTATGAGTGGACTTGGTTTCTGCCTTGATCTACTTTACTGCATCTTATAAATTTATCCCAAAGAGTGGGGCAGAGACCTGAGGAGGTTGAGGCAGTACTGTGTGGCTGACAGTTTTGGGATCTTCCGGAAGACTCAAGTCCTCCCATTAGAACCTAGAGATGGGCCTTTAGTCTGGCCTCTAAAGGAACTTGAGAAGAATGGGTTTGCTTTCTTCTTAACTTCATTCCTATCTTGCTGAGGCTCTGAAGAGTTTTAGAAACCTTACATTTCTGAGCTAGGATGGAGGAGATAGGGACTGATTTAGAATAGGAGTAGGTAAATGACAGCCTGTGGGCCAAATCTGGCCCACCACTGGGTTTGTAAATAAAGTTTTATTGGAACACGGCCACTAGTTTGCATGTTAGCCATGGCCGCTTTTCTGCTCCATTGGCAGAGTTTGATCATTGCAGCAGACCATGACCTACAAAGTCAAAAGGTATTTAATACCTGTGTCTTTGAATAAAAAGTTTGCCAACCTTGATATAAATAATAATTAGTGTATCCTGTGTGACAGGCATCACGGTAAGTGGCACACAGTATTGTATTTAGTTGTACTGGTATTTCTATTTTTAAAGAAATAGGAACGATCCCAGTTCTGTCTAACCTGGAGCCCTGCCTGGAAGATGCCCCTCACAGGAAGGAAGTACACACCTTGGTTTTGGCTTGGATGGGTGCCCCATGATCCAGCAGGATTTCTGAGATTCGCACATGCCCATTCCGAGCTGCACAGTGGAGAGGTGTCAATTCATCCTTTAAAAGACAGAGTGAAAAACAGCCCAAAAGGTACCCATCAGAGGCCGTGTGGAGAGGAAGCTGCCTGCAGCATGGTTTCTGGTTGTGGAAGTGCTGATGCTTCTCCTTCAGGCCAGCTTGGCAGCAGCACAGCCCATTACTGCAATCATCTCCTGCTGAACCTGGCTACTGCTGCAGGCTGCTCCAAGAGGCAGCTGGCAACATCGCTAACTGGATCACTAAGCCCAACATCCCAGTGAGTCTTTTGTGGGCAGAACTCCCTCCCCTGGCCTGTCCATTAAGGCTGCTGGCACCCACCTTGGTCCTTGTTTCTATCTGGGCCCCCCGGTCCAGCAGCAGCCGCACCATGATCACGTTCCCCCTGCGGGAGGCGATGTGCAGTGGTGTGATACCATTCTGGAGGGAGGAAATGGGACAGTCAGGGCTCGCTTGGTGTGCTTTAGAATATAGCTAGGCCCACCATTCTGTAGCCCCCCTGCCCTGAAGCTGCCACAGTACAAGCAGCCACTTTTTTTTATTCATATGTGCATACAATGCTTGAGTCAGTTCTTCCCCCACCCCTCCCTCTCCCCCCTCACCCCCTCAATACCCAGCAGAAACTATTTGCCCTTATCTCTAATTTTGTTGAAGAGAGAGTATAAGCAATAATAGGAAGGAACAAGGGTTTTTGCTAGTTGAGATAAGGATAGCTATACAGGGCATTGACTCACATTGATTTCCTGTGTGTGTGTGTTACCTTCTATGTTAATTCTTTTTGATCTAACCTTTTCTCTAGTTCCTGGTCCCCTTCTCCTATTGGCCTCAGTTGCTTTTAAGGTATCACAAGCAGCCACTTTAAACATGAGGACTCTCTTGTTTAAGAAAGAGTTCTGAACCTATAAGGACCTGATAGTATGATGGGCAATCTCACTAAACTGGCCAAGTCCATGCCACCCAGAGCCAACCTAACAGATGGGAAGAAAGCCAGTTGTTTGAAAGTTGTTCCTTGCCTCTAGGTGTCCACCGCGAGAATGAGCAGATGTGATTCAGAATATTCTCAAGACAAGGCAAGTGGAAACCAAGGGGATAAATGGTTAGGAACCTGCCATTAAGGAGCCTAACAGACCCCAGGGCTGTGCCAACACAGACACATCCATAATGCAGATGAATATTGTGGTACTGGAGTGAGAAGCAGGGGGACCTGATTCTAGACATCCCAAGCACTGGACTGTGTGTGGGAAAGCCCAGCAGAGATTACCTGTGGTGTGAAGTTGACGCTGGCCCCTCTGTTGAGGAGCAGTTGGGCCACGTTGAGGTTCTCGTAGTGAGCTGCGATGTGGAGGGGCGTGAAACCCGTCTGGGCATAACAGAGGGGGAGAAGAATCTGTCATATTGTGACTCATTGGCACCTCTATCCCAGAATCAGGCAAGGATTGTGAAAAAGTTGATAGAGCCAGAGGACCCAACACACAAAGCTGATTTGCTATTTTTGACTAATGGCAACATTTGCAGAAGAGTCCAAGAGACGCACTGTGGCAAGCTATACTCAAAAGCTGGGCACTACCTTGGAGTGACCTCTATCCCATGCCTCATGGCCATGGCCAAACCAAACCATAGACTGACTGGGATCACCTCCAACTGAATGATAATTCATAAAGAGATTTTACTTAGGAGTGAAAAGTATTATGTGTCCATGATCTCAATCATAGGGACTGTTTCAGCCCCTAAAAGGGTCTGATGCCTCACCTGGCTCACCAAAGGCAGACCTCTAACCCCTGGGTGTGTCCACTGTCATCATCCTGTACCATGTCCTCAGACCACATCCATCCCCATCCCCAGCCAACTGCTTTCCAGAAAAATCCAGGCAGGGGCTGGGTGGGAAGGGGATGAGTGGGAGGGGACAGAGTGAACAACTCAGTGTAAATCCACTCTGGCTGGAATCGCCAAGAGCTTAATGTATAGGCAATGGGAAGCAATGCCTTAGAATATCAGACAGCATAGTGACCAGTGGGCCAGGCCCCTGGGGACCACTTTCTTCAATGTCTAGCCCTACCACTATTGGGAGTGCCTCCTCCCTCCAGCAGGGGCAGTGAGGGGCGGGGGGGGGGTGACAGTTCAGGGCTCCCCTCCTGGGGCTTCAGCTTCACTCTGGCTGCAGACCCACCCTGCCCACCTGGACACTGTTCTGGCTGTGCCAGCACAGCAAGAGCCATCTTGGCTGCACACTACACACATTGCCTTGGCCTTCACCAGGAGTCTGAGGTGGGGCTGTCCACAGAGGCCTTCCCACATTGCTTCCAGGCCACAAAGTTACCATGGGCGCTGTGCTTACTGCACATGGCTGGCCCTCCCCAAGTCCCACCTGTTCTGAAACAGTTGACAATTGAAGGTGGGTCTGACTGATGGACCTCCACAATTCCAGACTAACTCTCCCAGTGCCTGCCTGGCCGCCCTCACCTTGGAGAGCACATCTGGGTTAGGGTCATTCTGCAGGAGCACCGCAGCTGTCCTTGTGTCGTCGTTACGGGCTGCAATGTGCAGGGCTGGGAGTCGCACCTTCCCCTTTGTCCCATAGTTGATGAGATGGGCCACCACGTTCTCATGACCCTGCTGCAGCGCTACAGCCAGGGGAGTGAAGCCATCCTGGCCAAGAAGAGGAAAGATGTTTTGCCGTGAATAGCAGAACCACTTGCTGGCTCTTGTTCACAGGAGGCCCCAGCCTGAATGACCTCCTCCAACATGTTGCTCTTTAAAGTCATCTGCATCCTCCAAGCTCAGCTTAAGTGCCATCTCCTTCTCAATGCCTTACTGTGGTCATCTTTTTTTAGCACTTAGTCTATTTCCAGTGTAACTGTGTGTTGGGAGACTCTGACTGTGTTCTATGAAAGACTTTTTACTGCTCTTTCATTCCTTGCCTACCTTTCTTCTCACTCCATTGTGCCTTAAATGCAGCAGAGTTTTACAGGTGTCTAGGAGCTAGAAACCAAGCTGGGCCATGATATTAGGAACTATAAGTTCTTAATAGCACTTCCCTCCATTGTATACTGAGAGGCGAGAACACAACAAAGTGGTGAAGCAGAACAGTAACAAAGTCACATGGAGGCATGCAGTATCAAGTCAAGAGAAGCCTCAGCTCGATCCAGTGCAGCCTCACCCTTTCACAAACAAGCCTCTGGCTCAGAGCTAAAAGTGACTTGTCAAGGGTTTGTGACAAGAGCCTTTCTCATAAGGCCCAAGGCAGACTTGTCAACCAGATACCCCACCCCACCCCATCCATCCTGAAGTGTTCACTATAATGGGAAGAACATCTTTGAGTCCAATGTCATTTCTTTGGCATGTGTTTGGCTCTTCCTCAAGACCCATGATTTGTCCCTCACTCCCTTTAGAACGAAAATGGCCCCTAGGATCAGTGCAGAGACATGAAAATTGACAGCACTCAACCATTCTCTGTGTCAACCATGACAGCGACTGCATTTCAGCACATAACCAATGAGGCATGGCTCGGCCACCAAGTACTGCTGAGGACGTTTCTAGCAGTAAGCACATTCTCCAAAGAACTTACTTCTGTGGCTACATTCTGATTGGCTCCATTTTCCAGTAAAAACTTAACCACTTCCAAGTGATTCTCTTGAGCTGCCATGTACAGGGGGGTGAAGCCTTTCTGTAAATCAAGAGGAGAGGCTATTAGAATGTACCTGCATTAGGGAGAGATGCAGACAGATGCAAACCCTAATCTGGAGGGAGTTCATCCCATTTTCATGTAGTTGTAGGGAGATATTCCCACTATGAAAACTCATTGTCACTTTGAATTGGCACTGTGGAACTGTTACCAAAGGTCACAAGTGGGGGACAACTCTTCATGGAAGTGTGTGTTGCCCCTAATCACCCCAGTCAGGCTGTGGCTCATGCATTCCCCCTCTGTTTTTAAGCCCTTCATCACCAATCCCCCATGCTTCATTCTTCTACCCACCCTCACACATAGATTCTCTCCCTAAATGATTCATGCTAAATATGTTACTTGGCTGGTCTACTGAACAGAGAGGGGCCCACAATGATGCTTAGAACATGTGGTCCAACTACGAACAGATAATATAGGATATCTTCATTACTGCTTGGAGATGTGCTGCTAGGAAACTGAGATTTATCTATAGTGTGTGTGTGTTATGCAGTGGTCAACACATCCACTATGCAGTAGCGAGCGGTTACCTGTGACTGGGCATTGACATTGGCGCCATAGTTGACCAGCTCCCGGACCACCTCATCCTGACCAGCAAGTGCGGCAATGTGCAGAGCTGTGTTCCCTTTCTGAAACAGAGAGGCGATGGAACTGCGGAGGTTTCCCCCCAGGCTTGCATAAGCCAATGTCACAGGCAGGCGGAACAATGGTTCTGGTTAGGAAGTCCTGTGACTTTTCTTTAGGTCAAAAGGGGTGGAAAACACCCATGTGTACACCTGGCCCGTCACACTTCTTGAAATACTATTGAAAGAAGAAGGAGGGGAATTCTTCCTGTCACCTGTGAAACACAGTGCCGAATATAAAAATGCAACTTCTCAACTTCTCAATGGCCTACTGGTCATAGCTAATCTCTGCTCCACTGAATGTGTGACTCTGCAGGACATCACAGAGCCCTCAGCAAGGCCTGGGTGCTCTGGGGAAGGCAGGCTTTATATGCTCTCATTCAGTACCCATGATGTTGTTATGAGGACACTCACAGACCAAGAAGAACAAAGGCAAAAAAGGAATGGGAGAGTTAAGAAAGTAAAATACCAAGTAGAAAAGGAAAGGGTAAAATGCAGTGGAAAAGAGAAGAAAAATATGAAAATCAATGAATGGACTCAACAGAATAAAATCTGGCAGAGGAAATACAAAGAAGAGTACTCAAAATATTAAAAAGTAAATCAGAACAAGCAAGGTCTCACCAAGTAATAGAGATAGAAAGTTCAGACAGGAGAAATGAGTAAATGAGGCACACAATTGTCTTAAACTCTAAAAGATAACAAGGCAGGTTCTGAGAATGTGAGTTAGCATTTGGGTTTCCCTGTGTGGATTCATCCTGGGTATGGGACAACAATCTGAGAGGCGTGAGGGACCAGCAGCACTGGTCTGTTTCTAGAGGCGGACATCCCTGGCCAGCCAGCCTTCCTACTAAGTTCCATCTGGGCCAATGAGTCCTGGCCAAAAAAGCAAGTACCATGACCCACATGGGCCCCTGCACAACCCACACTGCACTTGTATTCAGGGACATTCTGGGGCAGACACCCATCAAGTAGGGCAAGTTGAGGAAATGGGACCACAGCTGGACCTGTGTGTCTCTGTGCTACTCAAAGAACAGAGACAGCAAACAACTTCATTTCTCACCATTCGGTCAGCCCTTCACATCAGTGGGTTCTGCATCCTTGGATTCTACCAACCACACACTAAAAGTACTCAGAAAAACACTGCATCTGTACTGAACATGCAGACTTTTATTTTCTTGTCACTGTTCCCTAAACATTACAGCATAACAACAACTTGCAGAGCGTGCATATCGTATTAGGCATTATAAGTCATCCAGAGGTGGTTTAAAGCCTACAGGAGGATGTGTGTAGATTACATGCAAATATTGTACCACTTTATATAAAGGACTTAAACATTATACATTTTAAAATCAGTGAGTTTCCTGGAACCCATCCCCCTAGGATAGTGAGGGATGATTGTATACTTTTTAAACTAAATTACATAAACACATACTGATCCATTTCTAGAACCAACAACAGGGACCTCAAACCCAGTCTTTGCACTGAGGCACCTGTTACCTGAGGCAAAGCTTCCTCACTGAGGGGAACTGAGTAGCGCAGTCTAGCTCTGCACTACATAACCACTGTTGTCCAAATTGCCACGGGGTGAGGGTGGGGGTAAGGTGGGGTGAGGTGGGGTGAGGGTGGGGGAATGAAGTCACCGAAGGGCACCTGGAGACTGGAAGGAGCTCAGGTATTTGTTTTTGTATGCCACACCTCCTGCCCAGGAGTTCCCTGTTTCCTGCCTCCCAAAATGGTCTTTTTGATTTCTCCCATTTGATAAGCAAAAGGATTCTTTCTCAAATACCTGTCAGAAAGTAAATGCCAGAAGTGAGTGTATAGACACTAAAAATTTTTCATAGAAGTCCAAAGAGCCTCCAAGGCTTTGGCGCTTGGGTCTGATTTGTTTGCTGTGAAACCAGTATGTATGCTGGCACAAGAAGCTTCTCTAGAAATCAGAGTTCAGATTTGGGTATTTGGGTACCAAGTGGTGCCTTTCTATTTCCCATACAGAGGGCACATTGTGTCCCTTCATTCAGGGGCCACACACACTTACTGCGAATATGTGTGTTAGATGCTGGGTCAGGCCCATAGGCACCCAGGTGACAGTCTCAGTTTCTACACTTGAAGAGGCATACATCAAATGTTTCTTTCCATCTGATCCTTCCTGTCTGAACTCTACCACTGTCAAAACTCCTACTTTCTATGGCAGGCTGGGAGTGGGCCACACATGGAACCCTGTGGGTCTTTTTCACGCTATCTGTGTGGAGGGCAGCCCTGTGAGGAATGGGAGCAAAAGGAGACCCTGGGAAGTGGGCCCCTAACTCCCATGTGCATGGACACGGGTGTGTGTAACCTCCCCCCCTCCACAGACATACTGCAAGACTCAAGAAGGCCCCTGGGCCTGGGTCAGGGAGTCACAGGAGGGAGGCTATGATCTGTGTTCTCTGTCCCTACCTCAGCATGAAGGAACATGGCCTTGAAGGAGCAAGAAAAAGTACTTGTTCTATACTGAGTCACAAATACCCAACTTTGCTATTTCCAAGGACTCATAGAGCCCGTAGAAGGGAGGATGGCTGATCTGTGTTGTATGAACTCAAGTGTAGGGGAGAGGGGCAATGAGCGAGGCTGTTCTTCAAGGAGATGAGAAGTTCTCAGTGACTGAGCTCTGGCCTCTCAGGGGAGGCAGAAGGGAGTAAGAGCTTTTCAATTTCTAAGCAAAGCTGAGGAACCAAGATTGGCTTTGGTGTCTTGTTTTTTCTTTATTTTTAATCTCCCAAGCATGGGAGACCCATTACAAGTCCTCAATCTGCTAGGAGTCTTCCTTAGCCTCATTCCCTCTCTATGGCACTCTAAAACCATGCCAGCTTATAAAATTTCTATAAATAAGACACACCAAGTGTTCACTGCAAAATAACAATCAAAGGTGGGAGATTCAGAAAAAGTAAAAGGATCAAGCATAATTTTCTAAAGCTCTAGCGGAAATGCCAGGGGAAGGGTGGCTACTGACCCATAGAGCCAGCCAGGTGCTACGTTGCTTGCAGCCAGGTACCTGAGAACAACCCCCACCCCCCAACAAATTCGTCTCTTCCTCCACTGAAGGAGCAGGGTAGAAACACTGCTATTTGTTTGTTTTGTTTTCTTTTTTTTTTTTTAACATTGCTATTTGTTGTGGGATTAGAAGAAAATACCTCATCTACAGCCAGAAAAAGCAGCTCTGTTTATTTTACCAATGAGTGCGGTGAAGTCTTTTCACATTGGGGAAATGACATGAAAATTACAGAATCTTACCTTGAGAGATGATTCTACCTTCACAATATTTTGGTAGTTCACTTCATACCCATAAATTATATCTGTTCTCTACATACTGTTCTACTGTGTTCTCTGCTTGAGAGGTGGCAGGAGTGCTTGCTGCATGGAGTTGAAATTGAGGCTGTGCTTAAGACCCTATTTCATAAATGACATATGGGGAAAATTCAAGCACAAAGACTTGGGAAAGTAGGGAAGAGAAGAAGGCAGGAATCGATGACACAGTACTTACACTGGTAAATTGAGATCATTGTTTTTGTAAACACTGGCTGCATCCTGTTTAATAATCAAGATGCATGCATATATGGAATAAAACCTGTTTTTGGGCTGGGTGTATAGCTCAGTAGTATGCTTAGCATGCGTGAGGCCCTGGGTTTGATTCCCAGCACTACAAAGTAATTTTTTTTTCAGTATATAGATATATATGAATAGATGTCTCTAGGCCAAACACTGACTCATGAAAGAGAATGCTGCTTCAGATAACTGGAAGGTTTGATGGAGAAGGATGAATTAGCAGGACTCAGAGCTTCTACAGCCTTCAATTACAACACAGTAGCCATTATTTGTTGATTATTTTCTGTGTGCCAGGCACCTTCTCTGCATCATCTCACTTAATCTCCACACCAATCCCCATTCTGCAGTTGAGTAAACTGAGGCAGCAATATCTCAGTAAGAACCATAGCTTTAGAATCTAGTGATGAGCAGATGGTAAAGCCCACTAAGTCTTTCTGGAAACAGGGTCCTGTGTTTTCAGGTGGTTTCAAGGACTCAGATTGGAAAGATAATACAAGTTCAGGAATATGTTTGGGTCTCACTCAAGGACTGATGTCTAAGCCAGGGTTTGGTACAATACCTGAGGGACCTACAGACTTGAATTTTCAATGAAAACCATCCCCTATGAGACGTACCTTGGTTGTTGTTTCTAAAATGATTTCCTTGTGCAGAAGTTCAACCACCATCTTCACATGGCCTTCTTTAGAGGCCAGATGCAAGCCGTTCAATCCATTCTGAAAAGAGCAGAAGGTGAAAGCGTGTGGTTAATGGGACTGCACATTCTGGCTGGAAGGAAGCCCCTTCCCAGCTATGAGGGGTGGTGTGTGGAGGTGTAGCAGGTATAACTGGAGGAAGGCTGAGTGATCTGAAGGGGCACAGAGCAGAGCTGCCCCAGCCTCCCTTAGCACCCGTTGTGTAGGAGCAATAGGTAACAGGACAGCAAAGAATATAACACCACTCCTTAGAGTTGAATTTCAGGGAAGCACCTCTAGACCAATGGGAAGGGGAGAACTTGAAGTTCAGACCTTGGGCAGCCTTTGTGCATGGCTATGGTTTGGAAGTGTCCCCTATAGGCTCCTGTGCTAAAGGCTTGGTTGTCAGCCTATTGGCATTATTGGGGAATATTAGAACCTTTAAGAGGTGGGGTCTAGTGGGAGGAAGTTAGGTCACTGGGGGGTATGTCCTTGAAGAGGCTATTGAGACTTAGGTCTCTTCCTTTCTCTCTTTCATTTCCTGGCTGCCAAGAGATGTTAAGTTTCCTTTGTCGCACACTCCTGCCATGATGTACAGCACTGACATAGTACCCCAAACAATGGGGCCAAATGACCTTCTCTGAAACTATGAGGTAAAATAAACCTTTCCTTTATTAAGCTTATTTTCTCAGGTATTTTGTTACAGTGACAGAAGGCTGACACAGACATCCACCTGAGTGAAATGGCTGGCATAGCCTCAGCAACTTAGTGAATTTTCACAGCAGCGACCAGGAAGAGTGCAGAGATCAAAGAACTGTGTGCTCAACATCTGCAGAGATCAATATTCACTTAGGTGACAAACCTCAAAACAAGGATGTACGAGAGTTAAATACTACCATCCACTTGCCTATATTATTTCCTTGATAGAAAAAACAGTATTAAAACAGCCAGCCTGCCATTTCAAGTATGACTGATAAAGCCTGCCTGCTACTTATGTTGTGGGAAAACCAAAAGAGAACAAAATACATTTTTCATGCCCAACCATCAGTTCACAAAAGCAGAACTCTCACTAATCCGTGTCCAGGGAGCTGTTACTATGCTTGGTCCACTGACCTTTGCACTCAAAGATCTTGAAACTAATTGGCATCAAAGAATGCTTCCTGAGCCACAAAGAATCTGACAACAGGGTAGTATAAAATTTTAATTCCAAATAGATAAGTAGTAGGTCTTGGCTCCAAACAGAAAATCGTTTTAGTCAGTGCATAATTTCCAACCCTCACTTCCTCCTTCTCAGCCATTAGTCTTCTTTTCCTCTCTCACACTTTTTGGCCTTTTGTTTTGGTCAGTTTTTTTCTAGAATCTTTATTTTCAGGGGATGCCTCAGAGTCATTACAGGCTTTGGCTAATGAAAACAAGCCCCCCACCCCCCGGACAACACAATGGGGGCTGGATTCCTGACATGAGATGTGGGTCCAGACTCACCCATCTGAGCATCTTTGCAGCCCACTGTAGGCTCCTGAAATACCCATTTCCCCTTGGGGTCAGCCAGGGCATCATTTTCAGATGTCTGTTAAAGTACAAGTTTTCCCTGGAAGTGGTTGGCATAACAGAAAATCGTTTTAGTCAGTGCTAATTCCAATCACTTCTCCTTCTCAGCTTAGTCTTTTTTCCTCTCTCACAGACTTTTGGCCTTTTGGTTGGTCAGTTTTTTCTAGATCTTTATTTTCAGGGGATGCCTCAGAGTTTCATGGTTTGGTAATGAAAAAAGCCCCCCCCCGGACAACAAAATGGGGCTGGATTCCTGACATGAGATGTGGGTCCAGACTACCATCTGAGCATCTTTGCAGCCCAATGTAGGCCCCTGTCCATTCCCTTGGGGTCAGCCAGGGCATCATTTTCAGATGTCTGTTAAAGTACAAGTTTTCCCTGGAAGTGGTTGGCATTTGTTAGCAACCAGCCATAACAGTCATGTGGAAAACAGGAGGTTTACAGAACAAGCTGTACAATAGAGCCTGGGATAGAGCAGGCATAACAGGTGCCTCAGGGGTCAGAGAAAAGGGAGACAGGCCTCCAAAGGAAACTTTACCTAGTCCTATTTAGATCAGGCCTGCCTTACTTCACAAACAGCCATTGTGTTCAGTTGCACAAATCTTTGCCCATCAGAACATCAGGGCACACCCTTACCAGTGTGTGTGTGTGTGCAGTGTGTGTGTGTGCAGTGTGTGTGTGTGTGTGTGTGTGTGTGTGCAGTGTGTGTGTGTGTGTGTGTGTGTGCAGTTGTACAAGTAGGTGGCTGGGCTGATGGAAAGTCCTTTTACCAAACATTTCCTCTTGGAAATGCCTGCCAATTGCCTCACATTTCCTTCTCTTGCAGATTTTGTACATCATTCATCATAGGACCAACAATGTGTGGGTTCTTACACCACACACACACACACACACACACACACACACAACACGTGAATGAGTTTATCAGATCAAAGATAGGCTAGGGAAGTTCTGACAATAGGGGCAGAGAATGGCTGACAGCAGACAGCAGTGTCAAAACCGAAGGCCTGGGGAGGCCAAGGGCACTGGACAGACACAAACACTCTCTCTCAACTCAATTCATGAAACACAAACTCAGAGGAAAGCGACTTATTAAATGAGACCTCAGGATCTTCCTTGCACCCTCCCTGCAGCTTGACGATTCCCAACTGTTTCACCCTGTGGAAGGTTCCAGGAGGGCCTGAGAGCAGGCACCTGGGATCACTAGGGATGTGGCAGGCGGGGCCACGGCCAGTGTGGACCTGGTGTTGACTGTGTGTTTCAGGGCCTGCCTGGGCAGCATTGTGCTGGGCATTCAATGATCCCTAAAGTCTGAAAGCTGGGGGTTTGGTGACCCTGAAAGGAAACAGCTACCCAGTGTTAAAGCACCTGGGTGGCTTATCTTTATTCTCAACATCAGTAAGCAGACCTCAACTCAGAGGGACTCTAAATATTGTCTGACCCCTGGATTTGACTCTCTTATCGGAGCTGAGGCAATCCAGGCCCAGAGCAGTGAAAAGATGAGTTGAAGTCACACAGCTGCTCACAGAACCAAACCAGATTTCCCAAGGAGAAGGCGTTTGGGTTTCCCCTAGGAGCAGTGTGATTCATTTTAGCACGTGACGAAAGCATACTTCCCTTTTTTTGATTACCAAGAAGCTTACAGCAAACATTCAGTGACAACAGTTATCCCAGTGGACCTGGCTGTGACCTCTGCAGCACACTTCCAGGATTTTACTCATTGTCTTGGTCCCCAGAAAGCCCCTTTTCTCTCTTCCCTGGGTCACAAGCCTCCTTCTCAAAGCTGCACTCCTGACAGAAGGTGACAGTCTTTGATATAAAAGGGCCAATCTGACTGGGTCTGCATCTCTCATAGCCTGATTTACCCTCCCTCCCAGATACTGGTTCAACGATCTTTTTCTTCTCTATGACTCTTTATCTTTCTCACTTTGAACTTGTGTTCAACAGTCTCCCTACATTATTTCTACATCTGTTGCCGGGGTAATGGGAATCTAATGTCCTCATCTGAGCCACGTAACCAAAACAAACCCCATCAGCACAGTCAATGAAAGTGTGCAGAAAGACCAGGCAGTCAATGCACAACAAAGTCACATGGGCCACAGGATGGAGCAAACACTTGCCTCAACCTCGGCTGTAGTCACTGCTGCCCATCTAATACTGAGCATTTACTTGATCCAATTGAACAAAATTTACTGAGAGCCCACTATGCCTGGCAGATGAATAAAACACAAATCTTTCCCTCAAAAAGCTCAGTTTAGGGGAGAGAGACACACATACAAAATAAATGCAAAATCAGGTCCCAAATGGCACGTGTGAGAACATGGAGGAGGCAGCAGGGGAGGAAGGCACTGTCCTGTAAGGGTGGCATCGAGGCCAAGGAACCAGGCCAAGGCCAGGGTTGCAAGTTCATTGACAACAGTGAGTTGAAAGGCTGTGTCTGACCTTGCTTTCTTAAGCAACTAACATTTTTAGACACCATGCTCCCAGCCTTTCTCATGGGGCGTCTTCCTCTCCCTTTCATAAAGCAGCTGAATTCAACAGATGCATAATATTCAGACCCACAGTGGCAGGTTTTCTCCAGCAACTGGCCTCAGTAGGTGGACGGATGGCTGATTAGGCATTACATGTGGTTACTGTCCAGATGCTAAAGTTTCTGAATGCCTGAAACCAATTTCCTGCCCCTGTACCTTAAGAAGCCTGTGCCATGGCCTTGTTAAATGCATAATTATTCCATACAGCAGACCACTTCCAATGCCTAAAAGAGTATTCCATAGATAAATATCATATTTAATGCCTTCTTCTGTAAACAGATTTTTTATTGCTCAAATGCAAAAGGGAAGGAGTATTTGTTCTTAGCTGTGATTATGGACAGGGATGAACTGTAATTTACCACCCCGTCAAAACCAGGAACCATATGTTTTATTTTAGTTAAATAAAGTGTAAGTTTGCTGCCAAAAGCAAAAGGCAGACTGCTGGATCTTGCCTTGCATCTTTTCAGCTATTCTATCCAACCTTCACTGCTACTTCTCTTGATGCCAAATGGCAGGCAGGCTGTTGAGGGGATTATGAGTGGGATAAATCACATATTTCTTCCCTCAAATAACAGGGTGTAGAAGTTAAGCAAAAATGAAGTGGAGCAATATGAGAGTAAATGCCAGTTAAATTAGAAGCTGGGGAGGAGCAATAATTACTTGTGGCCGTTTTCAACCACATGGCTTTACTTAAAGGAAAACACTAGCTTGCTAGTCCTCTTCCTACTGATCCCTCCCTCTGTTACTCATTGCATGTGTGTTAGACCGGTTGAGATCGTCCCACAACTCTTGGCTGCTCTGTTCTGTTTGTTTTTCCTCATACTTTCCTCTCTTTAGTTTGAAGTTAATTTCCCTTGGTTATCTTCAGGTTTTTTGATTCTCTCCCCAGCTATGTCTAGTCTACTGATAGGGCTGTTGAAGAAATTCCTCATTATTTAGAAAGGTTTTTATTGCTAGCATTTC